TTTACGCCGATTTTAGCTATATTCCAGCAATATCACGGCGGGGGACACCAGAAATGGGCTTCACACATTGTACCCATGTCGGGAATCGAACCCGGGTCTTCGGCGTGACGAGTGAATGCTTTAACCACTAGGTTACCCGACCGCCCCCCAAATAGTGTGATCATTCCGGCTGTTGCGTTTTGTTTGTTTGTTTGTTTGTTTGTTGTTTAACGCCGCACTCAGCAATATTCCAGCTATTTGGGATACGATGACATGCATTAACCAAGTCAGCGAGTCTGATCACTCAATCCCGTTAGTCGCCTCTTACAAGGCAAAATATTGATGAAAATATACGAATGGACCACAAAAAGATCGCCAAGTGTTCGCGAAAAAGGTCAGCCTGTGCTTTTACCTGCTCTAAGACAATCGACACACTGCCCGCATGCAACTCACATGAACTTGATTGTTTGTATCAACAATTCAGGGTCGATAAAAATATACCCCTCGCCATAAATGTAAGAGTAAAGAAGACACTCTGTCCTGGAGAAATATTCCTATCCTCATCTCTGTCGATATCGATCGCCGTTTATCATTAATCAAAATATTGTCACTGTCTACGGGCAAGCGGAATAACTAAACAGAGCCATATCTGTCTTGGCCCGTCTCCAAACCATTACCTTTTAAGGTATTTATTGAGGAAACACCATCTTGAAGTTATTTGCGGTGTCAAAATATATGACAAAGGCAGATGGAAATGACGTCATTGAGGAATGTTCCTGGCAAAATGGCCAGAATGTAAACGCACACTCGATGGTTGTACGGAACCAAACGCTTTGTGTCCAAATGTTTGCTATTTAGGGGTGAGTGAGTGAGTATATTCCAGCAATATCACGGCGGGGGACACCAGAAATGGACTTCACACATTGTACCCATGTCGGGAATCGAACCCGGGTCTTCGGCGTGACGAGCGAACGCTTTAACCATTAGGCTACCCGACCGCCCCCTTGCTATCTGGAGCACTGAACATAACATGACATATTGATTGTCGCGTTTGTGCGAGGTTTTTGTTCTTTGCGGGGTATGTAACTGTTGGATATGTATGTAACTTACAATATCATAATGACGGTCAAATAACTTATTACAACTGTAGCTCATATAATAAACAAGTTGATCACACATACTATTTTGTAGTTAGAGGTGTGGATGGTCTTTCTTATTGCAAAGAGGTTCACATTGGTTTTCAGGCCATGTGATAATCTTATTCTTCAAAGGGACAATATCGTGCCAGTTGGCACTCCTAGCAGGAGAGGTTCAAGTTGCTCTACACAATTTGTCTGGCAACTCAAATAATATGAATTATGTACCTAGTGATGAAATTCTGTATTTTTCTGAAAATATAAACTCGATATCTCACTCGAGTGAAATAACCTGTATGCGGAACTACTTTCTCTGTGTGTTAATGACGCTCTGGTTTTCAGAGAATGATCGTAAAAGTAAATATACACAGTAAAAAATGTGTTGCACCCCCACATTAATACGTTTGATACATCACAACATTTAAAACGCCCGACTCTGGTTTTAATGGTAGGTATTCCTTGGGGATCTGATGTTAAATGTGTAATGTTTTCGGAGGGAAGATGATCACCAAAACGTAGCAATCAGCACGTGAATTGCATGGTGCATGACATTTGCAGATTGCAGTATCTTCTTAAGCTCAACATCGCCTATAAAAGATGTTCTCTGACAGCCCAGTTTATTGTAACCCACAATGCCGGGTAGACGATTGTCAGAAGCAGTCAAGTGGCAGATTATTGGCCTTCATGGAGCAGGTCTTTCGTTCAAGGAGATTGGCAGAAGAACCGGACATCACTACTCAACAATAAGCCGTTTGGTCAGAAAACACGCACAAACTAATGATGTAAGGAATCGCAGACCCTCTGGCAGACCACGTAAGACCACAGTTAGAGATGACAGAGCGTTGTTGAGGGTGGTAAGGCGTCATCCATTTGCTACAAGCACAACCTTGAAACGTCTTTGGCTTCCTCGTCAACTGTTCAGTACCCAGACCGTGAGAAATCGTCTTAAAGCTGCAGGGTTGAAGTCCAGAAGGGTTATCAAGCGACCTAAACTCACAGACAACCACAAACGACTACGTCTAGCCTGGTGTAGACTGAGACAGAACTGGAACTTGAGGTCCTGGAGAAGAGTCCACTGGTCGGACGAAAGCAGGTTCCTTCTGCATGTTGTGGATGGCAGAGTGAAAGTATGGAGGTGTCCTGGAACAGCTTATACTGCAAGAAACATCATGCCAACTGTACCATATGGAGGTGGATCTGTTATGGTCTGGGGATGCTTCTCATTTGATTGTAAGCTTGATTTAGTGACCATACGAGGCAACTTGACAGGGGAGCGCTACATCCAAGAGGTGCTGAATCCAGTTGTGGTGCCCCATTTTGACAATCATCCACTGGCCACCAGACCGATATTCATGGATGACAATGCCAGACCACATCGTTCACGAGCTGTGACCCAGGTTATCCACAACAATGCTCTGACGCAGATTCCATGGCCAGCAATGAGTCCAGATCTGAATCCTCTGGAACATGTATGGGACATTTTGGGACGCCTGATTTATCGTCGGGACCCTCCTCCACAGAACTTGCGTGAATTGGAAGCAGCATTACACGAGGAGTGGCAGCAGCTGCCCATGGAGCGATTCCAACGTCTGGTGAGGAGTATGAGACGAAGACTTCAAGCTGTGATCCAAGTGCTTGGTGGAAGTTCTCGATATTGACTTACTGTGTTCGTCAAATCTCCATATGACATTCTTACCCTATTGGATGAATTTGGTCACTAAAAATTATTGAGATGTCACCATACTTAATGCGTCTTCGTTGTTCGTTCATTTTTCGTAAAAGTTCAGCATGAGATTATTACATGCCATAAGGTCATGGAATACCCCATTTAAGTTCATTGTATAGACAATACACTGGTTTGTTGGTATACACGAAATCATGGTTATAATATTCATTCGGTTATCTTTACACCCTTTCAAAACACCCCTCCATGAAAAAGTATGGGGGTGCAACACTTTTTTTACTGTGTATAGAACCTTTGTCATTACTGGTCAAATATCATTCATCTCCTGCACTTACAAAGTTGACACTTCTGAAAGTATATCAACCTTTTCAGGTTACTCGACAAAAATGTTATTTCACAAGGGATAAAAATGTTTCTTGACAAGAGATAAAAATGTTATTTGACAAGAAATGGCAAAAACCATCTCTGTATGTGAATTAAACAATAAATTATGGCCCTCGAATATAAAAGATAATTTAGTACTTATTACATTTCTAGACTTTGGGGGGTTGGGGTTGGGGTTGGGGGTGGGGGTGGGGGTGGGGGTGTAGCCTAGTGCCGAAGACTCGGGTTCATTCACTACACGGGTACAATGTGTGAAGCCTATTTTTGGTGTCCCCCGCCGTGATGTTGATGGACTATTTTTAAAAGCGGCGTACAAGCAAGCCCATACATTATTTGATTGATAGGCATCAGGCCCAGCAGCATACATTGTCCCTAGTTCTTGAAAGCGAAAAGACGGAATTAATCGAACCAAGATGACGTCATAAATATAATCTCAGAAAAAAGCGCCTTCATAAACAATGCAGATAGAGCCTGTCGTCAGATTGAATCTGCGTAACTGCAGATTAGACATGGGAAATGTAGATTATTTCTAAGTGTAGGTGCAAAGGCTATCTCCCGTCGCTACATGTTAATTTCTACAACGTTACACGTGAAGTTTCGTGTCACCTTCCAAATGAATGCTTAGATTAGAAATTAAAGACAAGTAATTCATCAGATTGGACGGGGAAATTCTACCAATGGAGACCACGGCGTATCATTGACGGGGTCATACAAAATGCATGAGTTTCGATCAGAATGGCGTGATATATGATGTAATATTTCGCGGTACCACCAATTGTCCGATCCATGACTATGCAACTCGAAACATTGTCCGTGACATTAACGTGATTGATTTTCCCTTGCACGCGCACTGAGCCCAACCGGAAGACAGATACTCCCATGCTCGACACATTAATGTCCCGGATGAGCGAGCAGACGACACAATGAATGCATCCAAAAGACTTCATGATAAAGTACACGCTTTGTAGAAGAAGACAGTTACATTTAGAGAACGTCAATAAAAATAGGAGATTTCATTGATCATACTCAGGTTAACTAATCCCGCTTGTCAGAAATCAGTGAGTAGCCAAATTAATGAAAGAAAATAGCAACGTAATAGATTTGGCTAATTGATATATGAAAGAAAATTGTCTTTGAAATTGATTTACAAGAGAGGACATTGTTTCGGGTATGCCTTTGTTCTAGTGTCACGACATTGAGTCAATTAATTACAGCAGGTATAATCAGATAGGGAAGCCTGCCAATTGAGAGAATACTACCATGATTCGTCTCCTTATCCGATTGGCCTTGCGTGGACTGACGGTTTTACCTGTGTTGCCCTTCACGTTCAGAAAGGTTGCCTCAAACATGAATCAGAGTAACAGCGCTATACATTACCGACGGTAGTCGGGCGAGAGGAGTGGTTATGTTGCTTTCCAAACATACCGTACTTCCTCGATTAAACGCCGTATATTAAGTTCAGACACTCTTACCCCGGCGTTTAATCGCAAAGATAATAATTGGGAAAATTCCGTCACTAGAAAAAATTCGGCATGTGTTTGAGGAAAAACGGTTCAAATAACGTCATCCTGCACCGCACTGGCTTCTCTTCCCAATTCCAAGGTCATGAGCTTCGCCTCCAGCGTTTTTTTGTGCCGTGATCCTTGACAATCTAATGTGGTCATGTTCTGCAAACATACATGCTAATGTACGCTTGTCTTGTTTCCTGTCCAGGGTGTGAGTTTGGCTGTGTTGTTACAATTGGAAATCTTATAAAAGGTATTCTAGCCCAACACTCCTTCGACCTCTGCTTCGGAAAACAACAACACAACTTCTTGTAATATCAAAATATTTTTTATTTCCTCTTAAAGTTCTTAATTGTCATAAGTTCAGGAAAATTTAATTTGTACAAAACGTCATCATCCAACATGGTATAATGAATCACAAACAGCTCCCTCCGATCACACCATAAGCTATTGTCAACACCACTGCCTCATATGTTACGGTAAACAAAGCTATATGCGGTTTGGTCCCTTGACTTGTAACATCTATCTTAGCTACTGACGATGTCAACACATTCCTATATCAACATCTCAAACGGTGCATATCACTTTGGTTACGAGTAGCCTCCCTTAGATAAGTCACCAAGAGTTTCCTCCCTTTGTAGATTCAACACCAAGCTCCATCCCAGCGCGTGACACCTTCGTTAACCGCCTGGTATCATGGTATAGATTGGGCTACGCGAACCGGCTATCACTGTGAGGAGTTTGATTCTACCGACCGATTCGCCTAAGCATTTTGGTGCGCTCTCGGTTACCCGGTCAAGTAATTTAAAGAATATTTCAATAGAAACCCATCCAAGTCAACAAAGTGATGCTGAGAATGAGCAGGTATTTCTTCACATGCACCGTTATTTGGATGCTGAAGAACGGTGGCGGATTTAGTAGTTCGGGTATATTCTCTTCGGGAGGTCTAATAAACTGTCAACGTGATGGTGTGCCTCGACGAGCTCCATACATCGATGTAGTGTGCAGAGTTTTGAGTTGTAGTTACTACATGAAAACAAAGGGAAGGGGCGTCGCTGAAGTGACGTAAGAGCGGAAACAGATTGTATATATCGTACAATTCCCTCCCTCCCCCTTGTTCGAGTTGACCACTGGGCATCACACTACGCCTTTCAATCGCCATTACATGGATATAAGCATCATTTGCCACCCATTCTTCGTTTATCTATATTGTTTTCAGTCTTACCTAAATGCACCGAGTTGTAATTTTTTCTCCGAATTGTGCATATGTGTGTTTATAAGAAAACTCTACTGCATGAAACTTTGTACACGATGTGAAGTACAGCGATGATGTGCACTCGGTGATAGCAGCACATGGCCTACGATGACGTCACGAATGACTAGACTAGACATGAACTGTACATTTTTACAGAATCTCGCCAGCAACATGGGTAGGCGAAACATGAAACAGATACTCATCAACACCCTTAATTCGTACAATGAGGAAAATGAAAGAAACACTAACTAAACATAAAGATGTGAATAACAAACCAGCTCTACAGTACCAACTACTTTAAGTCATTGAAATATCACAAATTACAAAGTTTGATTAATGGTGCACATGTTGAATATAAACAAACAACTGCTGTCTGAGGGTACATCTATATGGAAAGGCTTCCGGAGTTATACCCATCTCGTTAGATAATCACTGAAATAAATAACATTTCAAATAATGAAATGATTCAACTCTATTATATTATATGACAAGCCGATTACAAATGAGTTAAACGACAATCAGGACAGATGAACACTATGGAGCAGGCAGCAGTAGCGCCTCAATGCAAACTGACCCAGTTTAGTTAATACTATGGACCTGTCTATAGATGGATTAACAGAGATGTATTTTTGGAATTTATACACCCTGTTACAAGGACATACAAGATAGCTGATTGAAAATGGCTCGTCGAAATACATATTTAGAAAAATGCTGTAAGTAGATGGTTTAGACAATAGCATAGCTGAGCCAGCAAAACGACTTTCTTAAAGCTGCCTAATATATGCAATGTAGTGTGTAATGTTGACAATTTCGTATACGACACAATAAATCTTGAGTATATAAGGACATAGCCAAGGAGAAAACGCATTGCTTTAAATGAAGAAGCAACAGTAATAGTTACCAATCAACCAGAGCTCAGTGTAGCATTTGGTTATAGAAATAAATAGAGAAAAGCCTTTGGTATAAAACAGTATAATGTATATTTAAATCAGTTATCACGAGAGTATGATTGCACGTTTACCGTTTAACTTAGGAATATTCTACAAAACAGAAAGCCATTTCATCTCAACAAATATCAATTGTACAAATATAAAATAAGAATAATGAGATTGGTTTAACGCAGCTTTGAAAAGTATTTCAGTTATATCATGGATCGTCAACTTGAGGTTGTTTGTCGTTAGCCATTTTGGTGAAACGCACGAGTTTGAGTATGGTGCGGACAAACCAAGAAACGTAGTCAGAGCCAATCTGGGATTCGAACCCACGGCCAAAGGTATCCAAAACGCCTAAGGGACACAACTGCACATCGAATTGTGGTGCCCTCGACGACTTGGCAACCCAAGCAGACTCCCTATTAAGAGAATATATGTAAACATTTTAATTTACTGTAGATCAGGACAGTATATTTGGAAAAGAAATAAACAACTAAGAAAGTTGAATTAAATAATCTACTGTTCTTTGGGTTCATTTTTAAAGTTGAAGTTTAGAAAACAGAATAATATTTAAAGTCACTTGAAAGAAGATTTTCAATTTGAAAATAGAAAAAGAAGTCTTCGTTAAATAATTGTCATGGAGTTATATCTGCAGCACATGATTGGGAAAATAGTGGGATAGTAGTATCACGATAAAGGAGTTTAATGACAGGAAATGAATGAATCTTTTGACATTCTACATGAACTTTTACAGTCTCACATGGTGTTATAATGCTATACAGTAGAAACCTACCAAGAAACGCCATCTGAGAGAGACCAAATGACACACAAGGCTACAGCAACGAATATGTAATTCTGACATTCTGTAAGTAGATAGTAAACTGAGCGATATAGTAAACTGCCATCGCTCAATGCCATATTGTGTAAAGACAAATGATGCTCTTCTTCAAGCCATTATGAATGATAAACTAAGCTCATTATTTGTAATATATTAATCACCAGAGTGTAGATACTTATCACCAATCAGTATGTCTATGATAGGACATGTAGAGAGAATCCAACCCGGGTGTCTTTTGGCTTTGGCCGAGTAGTCTTAAACTTGCACCCACCAGTGTTGACACATTTCATGTCAAATGACACGAGGGTGAGATTCTATTTATCATCCAAAGTCATTCTTTCAACTTTTTCTGTTTGGCAACAGTAATAACCAGTGTCTTGAGGTTAACAGTAAGCTCACCAGCTTCAGGGGCAGATATGAGTGATGTCATGGCAACCAATGACGTCACCATGATCTACTAAGCATTATGGTGTTATATTGTACCTACATTCCCAAGGAGACATCAGTTGATCTCACTCAAGCCATGCCTCCCGTGGAAGCCAGTTTTGGATGATAAATGCATATTCGAGGAATGCGTCCACTACAATGTTAAGGAAGTGGCAGTCATATATATATATAAGGATGTCTGCTACGTCTCTGCTGCCCTCTCCCGTCTTTGTTAGTTCTTCACCCAGTTCTAACCGTTCTACTGACAATTCTACGATGTCAGTAACAAACCAAACAGACTAGGATATCACATACAGGAACAATGAAATCATTCCTGGAAATATTTTCGTTAAGAAAGCCCGATTCAGAAACGCTAAAACCTTAAATACAAAATCATGTGTATGATACAAAAGAAAATCCTTTCACCAGATACTAAGCGATGTATAACAAAAAACGATGTACTACTTCTTGTGGGCCTGTCACTTTTACTACATGAATGCCTTCTGCGCATGCGCGCAAGGCCCGGCTGTGGAAGCCCCTCGAGACGTGGGGGAATGTCTTTAACAGGCTGCCGAGGAGATGGGCCATTTTCCATGAAGGCAACATACTGGGAATGTGAGAAAGAGTGGACTTGAGTGGAAGGGAAAGCTGCTTACTGCAATCCCTTGAATCGTCATGTCGAAGGATACGATGAATTGATTGGAAAACACATACGTTGATCATCATTTTCATTGTCGCATATTCAAATATTCATTTGTAACAAGTGTAATTTCGGCAGCGCACAATACACTGAAAACACAATATCGGCACACCTTCATCGCTGGCTCAAGTTTGTCGGTGGAACTGCCCACATATGGACTACAGATAGCATTCGATGAATCTGATATGAAAAGTCCCTCCACTACAGGGACCCGCCTCTTTTAAAGAAGTTACTCTCTTACAACCACTCCGCACGTGTGCCATCACACATGCTGCATCTTAGAAACGCTGTAATCCACAAGTTCCGGACAACTTTTTCTTCAACCGAATTATCACGTCAGCCATCTTTGATCATGGTTAATGTCTGAGTGTCACGTGTCCTCATTTGCATAAAGTAGGCACTGCCTGATTGGACGGAAAGTACCTTCCAAGGCCTATAACTCTACCTCGTCGTCCGGTGACGTACCACTAACTCTTGCACACAGACAGAATGATATTATGATGCCAAAGATCTGAAAAATAAGAAAACAATATGATTTGATTACGTTGGCATTGCTGTTGCTTTTCAAATATTAACAGGCTAATATTGGTAAGCTGCTGAATGACTACAACAAAAAATACAGTCAAAGACCATTGTGTTAAACTTTGATGTGTCGAACTTGCGGTTGTCTCTAAGTAAAAGTTTGGTCACTGCGTATTCCTTCTTTATTAATCATTTTCGGTTGTGTCGAACTTAGGATTACTCGAAATATTTACGTAGGTCCCTTCAACTTCGACACAAGGGTACATAAGTGTAGCCACAAAACTGTGCATCCTCGAGTTTTTAGTGTCCGTTATGACGAATACCCTGGACCTATCAAATCGTCGGCTTGAGTCTGGTATGAATTAGAACCTTCGAGAACATGTCGAACATGTCGAACATGTAAAAGTTAACTATGGATAACAGGCCGGCAACAGGCCACGACATAACCTAGACTGTCTGTCAGGTGCGCTGAAGTATGGGTGGCTTGGGTGGGGATGTGTGGAACAACAAACTAGGGATGTTAAAAAAGATGTAAGCTATGATTATATGAACTTCCTTTGCTTTAAAAAAAGACATAAACAGCCGAGGAATCATAGTCATTTAGTTCAAGCGGTCCCTCCACAGAAGGGGTAAGCACCAAAGACAGATTTCGAAGTTGCGTGCTGTTATTTCAAAACACCCTCTAGGACTTAAAGTTATACTTACCAAAAAGATCGGAACGATTGCAGACACTATGCCAGCAACGGCGGAATACGTCAACAAATACACCATCAGCTGGTCATAACAACCCTGAAAAACGAATAATAATAATAATAATAATAATAATAATAATAATAACAATAATAATAATGACGGATGTCATTTCGATATACGTCAAAGCCTACGCATGATCGTTATAGCTAATAGTGAGTGAGTGTGTGATGTCACGGCGGGGAGCCCAGAAATGGGCTTCATACATTGTGCCATTGTGGGGAATCGAACCCGGGCGTGACGAGCGAACGCGTTAACCACTAGGCTAGCCCACCGCCCATAACTTCATTCAGGAATGCCCAGTGTTGTGCATAGATATTTTCTGAGAGCAAGAGGTGGTCTAATTTCACAACCATTTCGACCAGTTATTAAGTCATATCGTCAGCTTAATGCAATTGAGTGAGTGCGTGAATATGGTTTTGCGACGCTTTAAGCAATATTCCAGCAATATCACGGCTGGGGACACCAGAAATGGGCTTCAAGCATTGTTACCATGTCGGGTTATTCAACTGAAATATGTCAAGGATTTGTTTTTTTTGGTCAAATAACATGTTTATCTTACCAAGATAAGTTGATATCATGAGAGTGAAACTGCCGATTATGTTTAAATGCATCACTCCGAGATTGACATGAGATAAATCTGTATATTTGGTGTTTTCTTACTAAGCTTCATGTTTTTACTTTGAAAACAATAGTTTCGTTGAGGAAGACTGAAAGTAGTTCCCATCTTCCACCTTTGACGGTGATCAACATCGTGTGCATCAACCTACGCAATAGGGACAGGATGACATGCATCAACCAAGTCAGCGAGCCTGACCGCCCGATCCTGTTAGTCGCCTCTTACGACAACGATGGGTTGCTGAAGACCTATTCTAACTCAGATCGTCATGGGTATAATTAAAATGAAAGTACATGAGCAAATGAATGTGTTTTCACACCACAATACGCAATTTTTAATTTATATGACGGCGTCCTGTAAATAATCAAATCTCGTCTTTACACAACTATGAATGATATTATGAGCCACGATCCATCCAAGCTAACCCGGAAGGACCATGGAGCTGTCGACCTCAACGGAGGCTTGGTCAGTACTCACGGTGGTGTAAAGATGAGGGTTGGTCTTTTTAAACCTTTCCTTCTGTGGATTGAGATGGTTGGGGGGTCCCGGGAAGTAGGTTTGTCCGGTACAGATGGCCTTGTCCCCCTCGCGACAGCAGCTGTCGGGGACCTTTTGGAGTTTCTTACCTTCTGATGGAAAACGAGCCTTGTCTGAAGACCGCGCATTAGGGCACGCAAGACATAGCGTTAGTGGGAAGCAACGAAACAAAAGCAAGCAAAAAGAGCACAACAGATGAACTAAAGAACAGGTAGGGAAATCACACAGTCAGGTAGCATTGGTGCCATGTGTTTGGAAATTCTGTGGGCGTGGGGATCGGGTGATGTGGGGTGTTTTATTAGGGGCTAGGACAGTGACCCAACCGTTTTTCATTGCTGTGCTGTATCCTGCTGGCAAGCAAATCGAAATCAGACTTAATCTCATTGAGGTTAATTTTCAATTTAAATGGTGTTCTTTTTTCTATGAAAATCATATATTTTGCGAGACTCAGCGTTCTTCTAAATCTTTCCCTACAGTCCTTGTCTTCATCCAATCACGTTTACCCTTGCTGTTCTTACGGACAGTATATTTTAACTTAAAAAACGTATTGCATTCTGGAACAGTTCGCAATAGGATTTCGGTAAGAAAACATCCCATTTAAGAAAGAGAACATCCTTCAATAAATGGCACCAATGCTAAGTGAAATATAATAAACTAAACAAAACTGTTTAAAGGAAAACGCAAGATTTTAAAGACAGGTTTTTAAAAAAGTATAGATGGGACAAAAGATGTATGATGACAAACTAATATGACTTGTACTACAATATGAGAGCACAGGTGGAAACTAAACTGATTGAGCAGAGCGAGTTAATTGCAGTGAAGATGTATTTGCAGTGAAGATTTATTTGCAGTGAAGATGTATTTGCACTGAACACATATATTTGCATTGAACATTTATTTGCCTTGAACATATATATTTGCACAAAACATATATTTGCATTTAACATTTATTTGCCTTGAACATATATATTTGCACAAAACATATATTTGCATTTAACATTTATGTGCACTGAACATGCATTTGCATTGAATATAATCTGCACTGAACATGTATTTACACTGAACGTTTATTTGAAATGAACATTTATTTGCAGTCATTATACTTACGATCATTCTGCATTTCATTGTACCACAGTGTGTTGGTGGAATAGAATGCCCAAGAATCTGTCGAAGTGCTGTTTCCGGAAATACCACAGCAGCCCAGCTGAAAGAGAGGATGAGACATCTTGCATAATGTAATGTGGAACCGTTAGCCCGGGAACAACCTCAGCCCGAAATCCCGTTAGTCAGACCAAAAAACCCCGTTAGTCTGAAACCCTTCTTATCTATATATATAAAAAAAACGTCAGTCGGGAAATTCCCCTTAGTCTGCAAACTCGGTTTCGCAAAATTCCCAATGTGAGTGTCTGACAAATACAGGTAGACCTTACACTGATTCCATGATTCGAACGATTTCATTGTTGACTGTACTGATGGGTTTAAAGGGGCATGGACATGCACACTGCTCTACATTTCATAATTTTTATTTATATAGTATGTACCATTAATTCATTCCGGGGACGGTGATTTATGGAAATGTGTGTCTGAAAGCAAATGTTATCAGGAGATGAGCTTCCCAAAATTGGTTGACGTGTGACCTAGAACTGGACCCATCAGGACGGCCATTTCAGGAGGGTCAGATTTCAGGCTTATCACATTACGACATAGTGCGAGCCCTACCTGTCGCTGCATGGAGTCCCATGCCTCCGTGATGCGCTTATGTTCCGGTAAAGTCCGTGTACCTATGCCGTACTTTTCCGTTAACGTATCACGCATACGAGATTTTATGTGCGAGGCAAGCTGAAAGAAATGAATAATAACATGAATGAGTGAGGTTTTACGCCGCTCTCTGCAAGATTCCAAGCAATGCCATGGCGGGGAACACCAGCTTCAAACATTGTACCCATGTGGGGAATCGAACCCGGACTGCGGCATGATAAGCGAATACACAAATCTGCACACAATGGAGCCAGTTCCCCTGTCAGTTAAACAAGGATTAATGAGTGAGTGAGTTGGGTTTAACGCTGCTTTGAACATTATTCCAGTTATATCGGCGTGTCAACTTGATATGGGAGGACTCTGCATTCTGTCAACTCGGCACAGCGAATTGCGGCGTCTCAGACAACTGAGGCACCCTCCCGACACGTAGTATCAGGTAAAAATATGACTTCAATGTTTTTTATACTTCACTTACAGAGTTTAAAGTTTTACTTACCGCGCCCCGGAAGAAAAACGACAATCCTGAAGCCACGCCCAGTATTATTAATACTATCGCTAAGGTCGTGCCATACTGAAACATGAGCAAGTACATGTCAAAATAAGCTGCTTTACTAGTTGATAACTGAGCCAAAGTGCATCCACAAAATCTTCCCCAAACGGGTATGTATTTAAGCACACAGAGAAAACCTGGGTATGTGTGTACACTCAAAGTGAAACTCCGTTATCCTGACAGTAACGTCCCCCCAAAACCCCAATTCTCATATTAACGAGAAATATGGTTATATTAAAATAATGCTCTGAATGCGCAATTATTAGATTAACGGGGTTCCATAGTAGATGCCTTGTTGATCACCTGTTGATCGACAAAACTTGTTGTGATTACAATGCTTCTGATACTATCATTCTAAATATATTCCATTTATGAATATTACAACGATTAATCATTTTGTGATTGTAATCATTTTAAAATTCACATTAAAAAAATAAACTAAAGTCATCTAACAAATGTTATATTTGGAAAAGATAAAGTGTTATCCCAATTATAGCATTTGCTAAGTGTGACCACTTTCTAAGTGACATTGTGTATTTATAGTCATCTAGTTCTGAATACATCGTACAGATCGAATTCTTAATGTGATAATTAAATTGTATACTTACAAATGATAAAACACATTTATCTTCTCGTATTGTGCCGCAGCACCCACAGAAGGCGAGGAGGGCCACAGCCCCACCCCCTGCGATGAGGAGGTATGTCGTCACTTCATACAGCTGATTATCCACGATCGGGGTCACTTTCCTGGCGCCGAAGTCCGTGACAAGGAGCCACACCCCCACGCCAAGCGACGCACACCCAATCACCTGGAGGCACAAGCAAGTCACATTGACGGTCGTTGTTTGGATGTCATATCTGAATAGATCTTACCTCATTATACGACTCAACTTTTGATAGGGATAATCAGATATGTCAAATATATTTAAATATACACTTGATATATTTTGTGTATCATGGAAAGAAAACGATCCCTATCAAAAGGGGATAGGTAGTTAAACGTGGCAATCTCCCATCTATATCACAGTGACGTAGATATTTCTAGTCTCCCCCGACAAAAACAGAGTCACAGAGCTCGATTTAGCTATAATCCCTGTCTTTCGTGTAATTTGTGATGTTTTCCTAGGCGTGATGTCATCAAAATGTGGGTACTTCAAGATTAGGTGCACATGTTTCTATGACGTTTTACAGCATTGCGTCATTAATAAATGTGACACTGGCAGCAGACAACTTCTAGAAATGTATGGGACCGGGCGCAATCTGAGCAACTTGGTGTTCATGCCAACAGGAACCTATTGCAAATTAAATATACTTCCTTAAATCGAGTCCTGATTATCATTCGACAACGAACAGTAGAAAGGCAATCTGAATGACATCATACGAGCATCAAATTTCGAACTATCAGGAACAGGTTAAGAAGTCAGTTTTGAAACGAGACACGATGTAGATGGACGCTAGCATATATTAGATGAAAGTATGCATAGTTTGTGTAGGTAGAATTCGCCCTCTCTCGCGAAAGCAAGCAGGTCAGCGAACCTGACCACCGGATCCCGTTAGTCGTATCTCACGACGTATAAGCATGGGTTGCTGAGAACCAGTTTTAACTGGATCTTGACGGGAGCATGCGACTTTGTAGGAGTCAATACTGTTGTTATTGTATACATAACATTTCTGCTTCAGAGAGGATCATGAAAGTTTTACTAGATTTTTGTGAGTGACTATGGTTTTACTTTTAGCAATATTCCAGCAATATCACGGCTGGGGGCACCAAAATTGGGTTTCACAAATAATACCCATATTGGGAATCGAACCGGGCGTAACGAATCGAATCGGCGTAACGAGCGAACGCTATAACCACAAGGCTACCCCACCGTCCCGCTAGATTTAAGATGTAGTAGAAGGTTATAGAAGATTGAAAATAATCAATCATGCGCATGAAGTACCGACTAACGGACCAGTGACATTTTCAATATAGCAGCATTAGGGATAATGTAGAACTAAGCGAGCAGATAACAAAGACCCGTTGCCAGGATCATCCATCGGAGGTTTTAACTTTATGTCCTTAAGATTAAGAGACGTGGAGTTCACCGCGGACAGTTACAATGATAAATACAATAGCTGATACAAATGTGATACAAAATCAGTCATTCAGTACTAATATGTAAAGGAATAATATCAAACAATCTAACGTGTAAATTGCATCTATCTGTTTTTCTATGGTGAATAAACAGGAAAAATGACGTTTAAGTCATATTCAATTGTTAAAGTTTACTTAGTGCATCCAGCAATGGACGTTTACTTCCAATTCAAGATCTCGGTACATTTGTCGGAAAAGACGTTCACATACATTCAAGGCAGTTCGCCAACCGCTATCACCAATACCTATTAACGATTCAACAAAGCGGTTTATGTATGTTTAATAAGAGACCGACATTCTCCGCCCATGTTTATTTCATGAGGAAAACCAACAGGGACGGTCCCTAGACGTTTAATATATGTAAGTAGAAGATAGGTAGTTATTAGTTATCGTTTGACCTCTCGCAGTAACGAAGTAATGATATGGTAGTAACAACGTAATGATATGGTAAGCCTGTATGTACAAGTAATCAATGTGTTTACATTCGTAGGTAGTTTGAGTACATTATACATTCTTGAAGTCTGGATGAAGTCATGCGTGCTTGTTAAACTTTCACGTGTATCACAAATAATAAAAAGAAAATAATTGCCTTCCGTCATCGTGTTTACTAAAATGAGCCTGCTGACGATGTCCAAGTTGGGCATGTTTTCAAACAGATCCGCTTTTGATCTTTGAACACAAAAGTTACACGCTTGAAGGTTAAACATGCCTTCAATAACAAAACATGCTTTCAGGAAGATAGCATTAAGAAAATTAAGGGATTTATTTTCACTAAGTGCATTGGCTTGTTAATATGTGATGAACTTTCGGAGTCGTTACGGACAACCGAGTATGGGCGGCCCCAGGGTTAACATGTTTCCTTTACAACTACTCTTAATGATTATATTCGTCAGTGTCAACCTGAAGTGGCTCTTGAATTTCAACCGATGTCAGGAGATTTCTCTTGTTGACATTCTTCATCAGTTGCTGTCATAAGCATCAAAACGAGGCTATTTATTATGACGTCGCTTTACGCCGTCGTTCGGACGACAGCATATACTGTTGGTTAAACACTGATTTCTTGATTTTCCTAAATAAGAACACATGTATAATCTATAATGTGACATCATAAATGTCCAACAAACATTTTTTTAATTTCAGGGCATGATACGAAACAAAACAAATAGAAAAAAACCCTCATGTTTCGTCAAATCAACTTGAACTTTTGGCTAACTACTGTCATTTTCCTGATTAATCTCCAACCGCCAATAACAAATATTTTATTGTACCTCCTGAAATTTTGCATATTTATTAAGAACATCTGTCTAGCAACATGCCATATTTGTTTGTTGTTTAACGCCGACTCGGTAATATTCCAGATATATGACGACGGTCTGTAAATAATCGAGTCTGGACCAAACAATCCAGCGATTGATATCATGAGCATCGATCTTCGCAACTGGGATACGATGACATACATCAACCATGTCAGCGTGCCTGACCACCCGATCCCTTTAGTCGCCTTTTACGACAAGCATGGGTTGTTGAAGACCTATTCTACCCCGGCTCGTCACGGGTCCTAGGTATGATTTTTGGAACAGGAACGACCAGAGAAACAACATACGAACTAAAACTACTCGAGATAAATTTTGTGACACATCTTTGTCTAATCTATGGATGGAAGTTAAATATCGTTTGCCAATGGACATGTAAGACCCTTGACTGTGATTGAGGCTCGAAGCACAGATGCCAAATGTGTTTGCTTAGTACGTTGTACTTGATGTGGAACCATCTTTTGAAGAGGTATGGAACCAAATAGACAGTTAACAGCCTCGGATTATGTGCCAAGCTGGCTGATACGACATTGGCATATTGTGTCTACTTATAACAGTCTAGACATTCAATTAATGAAGAACAATAACGCTGGGAGGGGAACACGGGACCACATTCTGGCGGATAAAGATTTGCCATTCTGATGAACATAGAATCATCAGACATCATATTCCCCCTCCATCAAGAAGGGTTAAACTGAAGGCCGAACCTTTGAAAGAAGGCTGAGAAATGTTTGAACTGATAAATCGTCTTGCCATTTTCCAGCTCTAACAACTACTCCTTTCAATGGATCTCGTCGTCGAGAAGTCGAGGATTTTCAATGAAAAACTCCACAGCAAGGATCATTTCGTACAATCGCCCTTTCCCAAACTACCATGCTTTATTCTTGTAATCGCAGGCAAATTCTGAGGTTATAGCTTTGCCTATATTTTATTCGAGATCTGGGACTAAACGCTCCGGGCATAAAACCTGCTATCGTGACAAGGAAGCAATTTTCTCAGAGATGCTGTCATAAACGGTTGGTGTATTGATCTTTAACAGCTTTATGTTCGTCAGACTCAACCAAAGAGTCGTCTACTTTTCAGCAAGGAAACAAACATGTGCATTTTCTTCTACTAATATCCAAGAATTCTTGTAGAATTTGTAACGAATTCGGGTTATGGTGATGGCCACTTCAATATATTCTCCCTTACCATACATAAAACCAGGAACGGTTCCATCTACCGTTTACTTGGGATTCTTATAATGCCACTCTGTGGTATGAAAGTCTTCAATGGACGGAATAGAAACTTTTGCAATATATCGTGGAACACAGACCCTTATTCGCTTGGATATTATTCAAACAATTGTTTTCAAATTACCATTTCGGAGTGAAGGAAAGACCTATCTTGTTAATGTGGTAGGAAAGACGTATCTTATTAATGTGGTAGGAAAGAAGTATCTTATTAATGTGGTAGGAATGACGTATCTTATTAATGTGGTAGGAAAGAAGTATCTTATTAATGTGGTGCACTTCAATTTGAAAATGAGATTGGGTCCTGTTTTTTAGTCATTCGCAGTGGCATTTCACCTGAGCGTGAGGTGAGGTGAGGTGAGGTGAGGTGAGGTGAGGTGAGGTGAGGCGAGGCGAAATGGGGATCAACGTCGCGTTCGACACTATTTCACTCATATAGCGACCTGCATACACGTGTGACTGTGTAACTGATGGTACAAGTCTGTACTAATGTCGGTTTGATAGTGTTAGGCCAGTGAGATAACATGTCGCGGTTTAACATGGAGACCCAAATCAGACACAGCATACTGACTCCGCCCAATCAGTCCTTGTCTTATCCCCTTAATGCCGAGCGCCAGGCAGGGAAACAACAAGTATCATCTCTTGCTATGACGCGGATCTCTCCGGCCAGACGCTGTATCCTTAGACCGCTGATGCTGTCGGCGAGTGTGAGAGCACATTATTTTGCATGTATGATAACATGAATATTGTAACAACCTCTGTGGGTGTAGAGCCTATAGAACAGCAAACTAAGCAAGGACAGCATGGTAACATTACATGCAGGTTTTGTGGACAGTTGCTCATGCTATCGCCCATTTGTTTACCTGGCCCAAGCCGCTAGATAAGACTAATGATGGTCTTATGGTCACGTTGTTTGAGTGAGAGGGTGAGTGGGTTGGGCTTAACACAGCGTTTAATAGTATTGATGAGGGAGGAAAACCAGCGATGCTTGTCTCGGGTGTTTACCACTTCGGTGAAACCCTCAAGGATGCTGCTAACAAACCCACGATCCTGGATATCAGGCATGCCCGTTGGACGAATTGCGGCGCCTTAGCCGACTGGGTCCCGCTCCCCATCTGGCTTATAATAAGTTTACCAATGGTTTACTTGTACCAGGCTTGAGTGAGTGAGTGAGTATGGTTTTACGCCGATTTTAGCAATATTCCAGCAATATCAAGGCGGGGGACACCAGAAATGGGCTTCACACATTGTACCCATGTCGGGAATCGAACCCGGGTCTTCGGCGTGACGAGCGAACGCTTTAACCACTAGGCTACCCGACCGCCCCTTACCAGGCTTGAACATTGAAAAGATATTAATAGAGTTGCTTATGCATACCTGTTGTTGTTGTTGTTGTTTGTTTAACGCCACACTCAATATTCTAGCTATATGACGTCGGTCTGCAACTAAATCCAGTCTGGACCAGACAATCCGGTGATTCACATTATGAGCATCGATACTCTGCAGACTATGAAATAGTGTGAGTATCAACAGTTTGAAGTTGTCTGCATTTTTCACACAACACACAACAACCTGTTGTCAACGATACAACAGCACCTGTCACGTAAACAAACGAGTGCACGTAGACTCCGCGTCAGCAAATATCTGAAGGTCGGGTCATCATGACATTTAGTCAGAAAGGTCATCACTGAACACAGGGTCCTGTTCCACAAAACAATCTCAGTTCCACGACAGTGAGGTGAGGTGAGGTGAGGTGAAATGGGGTTTAACGTCGCGTTCAAGATTATTGCACTAAAACAGCGACGTGTGTGTGTGTGTGTCTGCTTGTACTAGACGGACTAACCCCAATTTTACATTTCTGGCCCACTTAGATACCATGCCGCAGTTTAACATGAATACCCCACTCAGACACAGTATACCAACTCAGGCCGACCAGTCCTTGTTTTTAACCCCTCAATGCCGAGCGCCAGGAAGGGTAACACGTACCATCTTTAAACGTCTTTTGATATGACGCGGACGGACTCACTACGACTAGACCACGTCCTGCACGTCAGTGTTCACGCTTGTGAGTTATAATCGTCTTAGCGCTAAGATAGCTTTGTGGAACGGGACCTAGGCTACATGACGTACCGTTGACCATATACCCCAGACACACGAGCATAAGGTCATGCCGTTGTTGATTGTTCAAGACAAGTTTTTATTATTATCTTATGCCCATATTATGACTCGTTCACCTACCAGTATACAGACATTGTAACAATGGAGAGTTCCGCGGAGGCACATGGTACAATTTCCGTCATTTTGCCTCCGAACACGTTTTGCTTTGTAATCATCCGAATTTTCCCGCGACGACCTTCGTCTGCGCAACGGCTGAAAACAAGAAGCAGACGACATTAATATTTGATGTCTGGACATAAATAAAACAAAACATTTTGTTATAAATTGTTTAGTATCATTAAATATTGTTCGTGTCAGAAACGTCCACACGTTATACCTTGAAAATGATAAATTGTAAAATCCACTGAAATTGTGTATTCACATTGAAATTGAGTACAAATCACCAGTTTCGATACTAAGTGTGCTTTGTTGTCAAACTTTATACTTTCACAAAAAGTATGTTGTTCTCAACTTTTGCAATACTCTTGTTCATTGTTATGTGACACATTCTTAGGTCCCAAAACGTGGACGTTAGGAACGACACGAAGTCGACATCCTAAGTTAATACAGTGTTGAAGTCGTCAAAAACGCGTCATTGAAACTAGCGTCTTTACAGGTAATAATAAACTCTCCCACCAGCATCCTGTAATCGTGATTGTAATATCCATGAGATACCTTCTTCATCATTCGCGAATCGACCTCCATTTTGGATGCGACACATGCTGAATCGCATCTCAAATGTCAGTGAAAAACCTGACAATTACCGCCATTACGCCCGAGACGGAGAATGTCAGATGTTTGAAAAGCAATTTACGATAATTCATAGCGAATTATATATTATCAGTCTAGCCCTGGAGCTTGTTCGTATATAATTCAATTCTGTACTTGAAAGTCGTGAAGGATGGTATGTGGTATATAGGAAACAGCGAAACATTGTGATGTCATGATTTTATCGACTGGTATGGCTGGCATGCCGTTAAAAAATTAATCACGTGGTATGTGACATGCCTTGAAAGTGTGCTGCGGTTGATGGTATGGATTAATAACAGGTTAATATACATCGGTGTCGTATGTTGGTCATGTATGACATGTTTGATACCATTGTTATTAGTTTTATATCAAGCTGGAAAGTGAAACATTACAAACTAAATATGCGCTGGTATGCAATATATTTGTGTAAACAAACTCGCACAACAATCACTATTTCATGGCAATCTGCGTTTCATAATAATTTACGGCTGGGGACAACTTTCAGCAAACGCGGAAGCATAGATCTGTCATAAGTCGTGATCTAAACATATAGTTCCCGAAATAAAGTTATATATAAGGTGGAATAAAAATAATTCAATAAGGGAAAGCTCGTCTCTAAATTTAACGAGCTGAAAGGGGTGTGTGGGTGTGTGTGGGTGTGGGGTGTTGTGTATGGGCTGCAAGAGTTGGGAAAGGGCGAGAATGGAATTGGGCGTTTGTATTCAGTAAATAATCTGTAAGAGAGAGTAGTTGAGAACTTGAGACACGAGATCATCCTGGTATACCTCGTCAAACCGAACCTCTAAACACCTCTTTACATCGAACCTGGCTTCACTGAATTTGTTAAACCGAACCTCTTTAAACCGAACCTGGTCACACATAACCTCTCTACAACGAACACCTCGATATCCGAACGAGGACAACGATATCTCCTTCATGAGATTCAGTACAACTGTACTGAAACCGTTTAACGTGACGGTCGTAATAACAAGGAAGTGTTCAGACTAACGAGGTTCGGCATCTTCACGTGATACCCCGTCAAAAACTAAAACCGTTAACTCTATTGGTGTCCTTCTTCCAGGGAAGTTAGCTTCTCCAATGAGAAAACTAGCAGAGGGAAAGCATAACAAGACGAGCTCAATGGAACAATCACCATTGCACAATAGACGCGTCATTTCTTATCGATCCCAATGTTTCCAGGGATCGATACTAATTAGCGGTACCATTTTGTGCGTTTTCTCTAGAGTGTAGTTACCCCGCTGCCGTACAAAGTTCAAGTCAGTGTATTCATCTTCATCAGTCGAGCGGCCAACATCTTACAAACATCTCAACAGCTACACAATGATTTCGAATTCTTCGAGTTACAATATGCTGAAAGGTGTTCTCTTGGCCTCTGCATGATCCACGCGATTAGGCTTCGTGTAATTGCATCTGTTTTATTCCCGTTATCCCTTACGAATCAATTCTACGCTTCGATTGCAAAGCCCGTTCTCATATCATAGGCTTGGTAATATTGCCTCTATCAACACCGTGTTCCATTCGCGCTTTGCATGGACCAATATTAGCCGACGAACCTGCTTAAGATCGCCCTGTGCCGAGGTGGGACCGCCAGCAGACAAACTGAGCCTTCGTTTGATCTTCGCGTCCATTCACAACCCAGCAGAAGGGTCAGCAATGCCTATGGACGCTTCCATTGGATTCCGATCGCCCATCTTCACCAGAATGGCTGCCTCGACCCAGATCAAACATCTGATGATCCGGCCGATTGCAGACGATCAGAATCCAAATCAATGTTGACATTGGAGTGAATAGGTCGCGGGGGCCGCTAGGGTTAGCCGTAATCAACGCCGTTGGCATCAGGCAGGAACTGGCCCACGAAGGGGTGACGTCGGTCGAAGCGAGGCCGTTACTGACGTCTCAACACCCCGGAGTCGGGACAAGCAAGACTAGGTCGTAATGGTCCCCGTGATGGTCGCAACAGACGGCTGCATAGGTATCCCATTATCGAGTTGTACTAATGTTTAGTCGGTGGCGTTTTCAGGAGTACATTGATGGAACGACGGGCGAGATGAACGTCAAATTGAGTGCAAAATTGTGGCAAATGAGCCCAGAAATCAATTGTTACTACATTACGGCAGTGAACCTGTGTAAACTGAATTAGGGGCAGTCAATAGGCCGGTAGTAGTGGATGCTCTATGGGTCTTCTTCCCCTGGCCGACAAAGATCCTCTTTGACAATAGATGAAATTTGCAAACTCTTGCGACGTCTTACGATGTGACGTCAAGTCCCACGTGAGGTCTCGGTTTATTTCCTGCTTCTTACAACATCCGACACTTTAAACACGTAATGCCATCATGCATGGACATGAGAATCCTTTGTCTAAAATTCGCTTTTTAAGTCAGATCATTAATTTCAGAAACCTTTCTTGGTAATTGGCAGTGACGAAACACAACGACAAAATAGAACAATGTCGTGATTGCATGTCGCCATCAGAAAGCCCGCCTGTGAGCGGGGTTTTACAGCAATATACTTCAAAGGACATGCTGGTTAAAAGGCAATATAGAAGCAGTTTAAAAACTTGTATTAGTTACCATGGCAACGTGTTTGAACCGTTGTCCAGACGTCATACAAGGGTAGACTATTAAGCGTCTTAACATGGCCTTCATCGCCCAGTCACGGTGCGGGAGGCGACCAGGGTTGCCCAGACTGCATCCATGTGACCAGGCATTGATAAAAAGTTCAAAGGTTATTCTGTCAAATCGATCTAATTCTGCTTATCTTGACTAAATAAGTAGTTTTCTAATATAAACAAGCTTTGCAGATTTTGAAAAATATTTCCAAATATATTTACAATAGCTTCTTTTAATCGTATATTTTTTTACGCCGCTTTGACTTTCTAATTCCACTTAAGTGTAAACATGAAGGATTATAATTTGATGTTAATATTTAAACCTCCTTGTCAATTACGAGTAAAAAAATCCGTTACACCGGCGTGAAGGTAGACATGAAACCGTTACGCACGTCTTCACATTCTCAACTGTTAAATCTTAAGCCATGAACATCTGTCCTTGACACTGGCGCTTAACACTGACTGAATTTCTTAAATAGTGTTGAAACTTGGTTACAACGTATTGTCTGCGCATGTCTGTTAAAATGTGTGTTTCCTTTGCGTATCAAACGCATACGGTGACGTTAATAGCTTACACTGTTTATTTGTCTTGACAATTCAACACAATGTTCGACCCATAATTGACAATGAACTAGACTTATTAGGAAACACTTACAAAACCGTTCTATCTCCGCTCCCTACAGGGTTGTCACTGAGTACTCCGTACAACGCCTGCCACCAGTCATGTCAACTATAGAATTATTGCGGTCTGTTGAGATTAAACACCAGGATCAAGGTCAAATGGCGGCCATTAATCTATCGAGGAAGCTGTACTGGAATCTCCTAGCTTGTATGCCACATAATCATCAGATAAATGTACAGTAAATTACTAAATACTGAGCGTAGTCGAGATAATTTGGTCTTTGTCCGACTATGATGGAGAATGACGACTTGAGGTCAGAAACCAGTCATCAAACGTTGCGAGTGCGCTTGCACGACACAGCAATGACCTCTTAATGGCGACGATGCGCGCCGTATGACGAATAAAGAGTTATAAAATACACAATTAAGATGTTCATCAAGGCTTAATATTCTATTTTAACGATCAATTCCCGACAGGGGTTGTTTGTCTGACATGCCATCGTATGAAAGATATTTGAAGTATTTATTAATCGATACATGGAAATATTGTCTTAAACAACCCCCTTTCTACAATGGAATGATAGAGAAGTTAAAGAAAATTAAATTGTAAGCCTCCACAAATTCAATTTCACAACTTGAATGAATTTAATTTCATGAATGAGGATTCCTGTGATGATCAAATAAAGGTGGGTATTTTTTCCAAAAAGCGGAATAAAATCAGATTAATATCTTATTGCAATAATTATAAGGGACTGTATTTCTCTGATCTCTAATATTATTCACGTGGTGAAGCAATGACAGTGGATATTGAACATTAGGCAGCCTTAATCGATAAGCTCTATTATTTACAATAAATCGCAATGCTATATTTAATATCCTGATAATCAAAACCATATATTAATGGATTTCTAGATACAAATGATAGTTGGCGGGAGAGCATGGTGTTTCTATAAACCACACGACGCAGAGAACGTCACAGCATATTGCGACGTTGACCACAGATCAGACCGGTTTTGACAAACTATTGACGTGACAATGCAACATTAAGAACTTGCAAACAAATCTCTTCTATCGACCAGAATGCCAGCACGAAAAAAAATAATCTTGGAAACTCATTTGCAACGGCAAATATTATCTTTATCGATTGTGTAATGCTGTTACGAACATTAATATTCGCATTCGTACTCCGCCATAACCCTTCACCTAGCCCAGA